GCGGGGTGAACTTAGGTGACTGCCCCGGAGGCGGCCGGCGGGGACAAGCCGGCGGGCGCGGACTGCGGGCGGGTCTCTCTTGCCTTCCACGAAGCGGGGAGCCCCTGAGGAGGCCGCGCTCCCCACAGCTTTCGCCTGGCCAGCGCGCTGCGAGATGGCGACCGACCGACCGACCGCGGTGGCCCATCCGGCCGCCCTTCCGCACTCCTCTCAGCCCCTCTGCCCTGCCTGGAGGACACGAACCGGCTCCCGGGCAGAGTGGAACCAGCCTCGGGGTGGCCTGATCCCGGACCGTCCGTCCGTCGGGCTCGGGTGCAGGCAGGCCGAGCGAGGGTGCCCCAGCCCAGCCCAGCCCCACCGGCCCTGGGGCCATCTTGGCCCCTCCTCCTGTGCCAGAAAAAAGACGGAGAAAGCAGAGGGAAGTAAGGGAGGGCCAGAAATAGAACATGGCATTTCATGCCCCCCTCGAGATTCTGCGAAAATGTCCGGAGATTGCGCAAAGGAAGGGAAGCCGCTGCTTTCTTAGAAACGGCCAGCGCCTCCCTCAGCGGGAGGGGGAGAGCGGGGCACGCTACCATTGCTCTTGGGAAGGTGCTGGGGAGCCCTCTGGGACCCAGCTGCATGCTCCTCCGATCTTTCCTTTAGTCAGGTAGTCGCCCCAGCAATCAGGTCTGGAGTTCTCTGGATGAAGCTGACTTCCCGGACCCTTTCCAGTCTCATTTCCAAAGCGGTTTTGGGACAGACACTGGTCTCGCGGGTGGACAGCTTGCTCTGGGGTGGCACAGCAACCTGGTTGGTTCCACACCCCACAAGTCCAGTCCCAGGTTGACCAATGTTGACCCCAAATCGCCCTCGTCCCTGCCTATTTTAGCTTGCAGTCCCCACTGCCAGTAAGCAAGCTTTAGGAAAGGCATTTGGGAACGGGGGGAATCACGGCAGAGGCTGGGAAGTCACCCAGGGAGGGGTGACTGAGGAAAGGGGGGTCACAGAGTTCAGGCCGAGCAGGTGGGAGCCCCTTGCCGACCCCTCGCTTTTCGCACTCCGGTCCAAGGCCTTCCTTCCAGCTCTCTTGACATGTTCTGTGTGTGAGGAGGCGAGGCAGGGCCCCCTTCCATGGGGGCAGCTTTAAACCCTGTTGCACCAGCCCCCTTGGAAAGCTCCTTCTGGCAAAATTGAAAATAGGCCCTTCAGTGAGCTCTCAGTGTGTGAATTAAGAGTCCCTTTACCTTGGGACTAGATGCTTTCTTTGAACTGCTGTTCTTAATTTAAAGCATTGTTTTTACTGGGTGGTATTTGCACTGTTTTGCTTTGCGGGTGGACGCTAATTGCAGGTCTCCTCGAGCGAGAGGGAACTGTTTCACTCATGTGCAGGTTTCTGTGAGCAGCTGGTTGCACTAGAAGGACCCCCGGTGTGACAAAGAACAGCTATTCTTATGTCCTCTTTGCACAAACAGATGGGTAGAAATACAGGACTGTTATGTTCAGGGTAACATGTAAGAAACCGCACAGGGGCCCTACCTTAACTCGCCTGTGCTTCAGCACAAACCCGCCTTGAAGAAAAGAAATCCATCCTGAACACAGAACAAGTTCTCCTGTTCAGGATGACAGATTATGCTGCTATGAGGGACAGATGTCTTTGAATCACAGAATCATAGAAGAGCAGACTTGGAAGGGGCCCGGAAGGCCATCGAGTCCAACCCCTCCTGCTTCAGGACACTACTTTTCACTGTCCCACTCAGAGGGCTGCCCAGTTTCTTCCTGAATGCCTCCAGCGTGGGAGAGCCCCCCACCTCTCCAGGCAGCTGGCTCCACTCTCATATTGCAGTGACCGCGAGGAAGCTCTTCCCGGTGTCCAGCCTGAATCTGGGCTGTCGCAGCTTGAACGGATCATTCCGTGTCCTGCCCTCTGGCATCAGCCAGAAGAGATCTTGACCTTCCTCTTTGTGGCAGCCTTGGAGGTGCTCATAGAGGGATACCGTGTCCCCCTCAGCCTTCTCTTCTCAAGGCTGAACAGGCCCAGTCTTTGCTGCCAAAGAAACAAAAGCCACCACGGGACGGTTTCTGTCAAGGTTGTACCCACACCCCAACGTTTATCTGAAGTGAAAGTGGGTGGGTGGGCGAGGAACTCGTGGTGGGTGGGCTCATGCCTCCCTCCCCCGCACATGCACCGTTTGCCCAGTGTGACCTTTCTTATTGCTCCGAGCTGCGTTTCTGTCCCTGGCGGCTGAGGCAATCGGGCTGAAATGGCTTGTTACCTATTTGGCTAGCAGCCAGCTTGGATGACGTGGCCGGGGAATGAGGAAAGAGTCGCAGAAACTTCAGGCACCTCCCCAGTGCTGGGAAGGGCTCCAGGAAGGCCGCTTCCAACGTTATCCTGAAAGAAACCCTTTTGAACATGCTTGGCAAGCATTGGCACACCGATGAGAGGACGCCCTGCTTGAGCGGCTTTGCCTAATCCAAGGGTGAAGTATTTGGGGATGGGTTTTAAGAATGCGTCAACAGGAGAGGTGTGCCTTCTCACACATTACGAAGCCATCTTGGGAAAACCCTTGAGCCCCATGACTTGTCAATGTAGGTCGAGATTAGGGAACGGTTTTGTTTGTTTGTTTGTTTGTTTAAGTTTCTATATGCCATCCCCTTGCTATATAGCCTCAGGACGGCTCACAGAAATAAATAAATACAGTATAAATAACAATTGCAATTAAAACCCGGAAACACCCTGGAAACAGTTGGTACTGGGGGCCAAGTCCTGTGATCCCTCGCCATGTGCCAGGCTGGTCGGGGCTGGCTGGAGCTGCAGGCTGGCCACTTCTAGGGGGCTGCAGGTGTCCCGTCCAAGGAAGACCACGGTGGAGGCCAGACACGGCGCCAAAGACCGGCTCGGTGCGTCTGGAGCCTGCCAGCTGGCCATGCAACGGCTCACAATGAATAACCAGCCAGTCCGCAGTGCCCAGCTGCTCCCGGCACTGTGGCTGGTTTGTGGACGACGGCCACCCGCAGCCTGTCGCGTATGGGGTGGTGGTTGTGCCAGAGCACGCGGCCACGTCCATCCCCAGTGGGCACAAGGGAGCCGCATGAACGAAGCTCGTAGCAAGAGCCGCAGGTAAGGATTCTGCACACATCTCCCTGGGCCATTTCCGGTAGGAGCTGCTCCACTAAATGCCCAAGTGGCACTTTGCTCTTCATTTATTATATTTATATCTCACTTTTTTCTTCCAAGGAACCCAAGGCAGCTCGCGTCATTCTCCTCATCCTCCCAATCTTACCCTCACAACAACCCTGTGGTGTGGGCGGGCTGAGAGTCTGTGACTGGCCCAAAGTCACCCCTGTGGCTCCATGGGGACTAGAACCCACACTGCCTGAGTCCCCGCCCCACACTCTTCCCCACTCCGTCTCTCCTGAACTGAGCCCGACCCCTTGGGAGCTGGCATGGCCTGTTTTGCTTGCCATCCTTTCGCTCTAGTTGCTCAAGAAAGAGGAAAATCCGTTTTCATGGCTGCGTGTGTCACTGTCAAGAAACCCCCGTCAGCCCTGTCCAAACCACATTTGAGAGGGAAGCTGAGTTTTGGCAACTGTAAAAACATGGTGCTTTCAGAAATGTCGCATGTGGCTCCCACTTCTCTTCCCCAAGCAACTAGAGTCTGGCAAAGTGTCGGAAAGGTGGAGGATGCAGGAACAGCCAAGTCCACCAAAAATGCGCTAGAGGGTCTCACTGGGAAGAGGTCCCTGCATGCCATGTCCTGTGGCAAGGGCGATCCCCTCCGAGTCTCCCTCCGCAGCGATAGCTCACCCGGTGAGAGCTGCTGTCAGGGCCTGCGGATTAACCTCTCCGTAGCTTCGCCTGGCCAGTGTCTGCTTCTTTTGACAGGTGATGCCTCTGGGGTATAGACTCACCGACACTGTGCATTTTGGGATCATAGGGGCAGCTCACCTGGGCACCTCCAACAATCCCACCCAAAAAAGGTTTAAAAAAAAAAGAAAGGAAGGCAGGCTGAAAGAAATATTTGTGGCCATGTGCAGACGGGCTGTGAGCTGCTTGGGCCCTTTGGAGGGACTTCCACGGACTGTCACTTCAGAGGTTATGACGAGCAAACTGCAGGAAAAGCAAGAGGCGAATCGGCCGCCGTCCCTTTTGTGGCCGCTGAGCGGAGAGGAAGGTGAGAAGGCCAGGTGAAAAGGGGCCGTGGGTGCTGCTGTCGGTCTCTCCCGCACACGGCATGGATGGCTCCCCCCCCCGGGACGCCCAACCCGAGCTAGAAATGCCGTGCAGTGGAATTGCGCACGGCTTTGACTGAGTGTGCAACAGCCTTTGTGTCGGGGCATTTTTCCCGATTGACAACCGGGGCACCAAAGTGCCTGGGATGGAGGCTGCGAGCCTCGGGTGACACCATCCTGCCACCTTGTGGTCTCTGTCGAATTCGACGCGCTTTTTAAAAGCCTCGCTCCGGCCTTCAAAGCTGCCTGGAAAATCACGCGGATAGCGGGATCTGAGCTCACTGAAGCTTGTGGGCAGCGCTCTTCCAGGCCAGAGAGCCTCCATGAAGCACGGGACGGACGGGGCCTCCCTCCCTTGCCGAACTTGCCTCTGGCTGGGTTTCTTCCCATTGCTGGGCAGGATCCTGCAACCCCCTGCTGCTGCAGACCTCGGATGGAGGAGAGGCATCGATTCGTGGGCGGGATGCACCCAAACCAGAAAGAAATTCCACCAGGCGGGAGAAGAACGAGCGGAGGTGCCGGCAACTCTCCTGGGGCCCCGGACAGAAGCTGAGGCAGCAGCCGGGACGAGCAGCTGTGCGAGCGATGGTCCACCGAAGATGCAGGAGAAGCCATGCCAGAAAGAGGGGTGCTGCCTTCCTGCCACGGAGGACCTGCACCTCCTGCCCTGAGTGGGGGCGGCCGCACAAGCCCGGCCCCGCCAACACCACCCCGAGCACACCGCTCTGCAACAGGGAGCGGGCGATCGGACCTGGGCCCCTCACGAGGCGGCCCTCGCGCCAGGCGAGCAGGAGGACGGTCCCCGTGACCGCAGGCTTCTCAGAGGCACGCTGTGCGCCCGGCCTCACCCGAGCGGCCGCGGCGGAGCCAGGCGTTTCAGCGGTCGGGAAGGTCACGGTCCTGTGCATCGCATTGGGCCAAACCCGACCCAACATGGAAGAGTTCGTTTATCTATCTATGTATTTATTTAAAACTTTTTAAGATTGTCCCTTTCTGTAGTCTCCGGACGGTTTAACAGTAAGACAAAATAAAATAAAACACGGCATCCTAATCAAATTCTTAACCAGTCAACAATAAAACCCATATTAAAAACAGTCAGACCTTAAAACATTGGGGAAACAAAAAGGTTTTAGCTTGGTGCCAAAAAGAATGAAGTGTCAGTGCCGGGCAAACCTCTCTGGGGAGCATATTCCACAATTGGGGGCCACTGAAGAGAAGGCCCTGCTCCGGATCGTCACCCTCCTGATCTCCTCCTCAGTTTGTTCTCTCTCTCTCTCTCTCTCTCTCTCTCTCTCTCTCTCTCTCTGTGTGTGTGTGTGTGTGTGTGTGTGTGTGTGTTTATTCTTAAACCTAAGGCTGCATTAACTGCCCTTCTGCAGAGCCAAACAGAGATCTTCTTGGTAGGTTATTAATTTTAGTTCTTCTCCAGATGTCCAGGGTAGTAACGCCGTGCACGTATTTATCAACAGGGCTGCCATTGTTCCCGTCCCATGAAACAGAACCCGCCTTGTTGCAGTTGCCGAAAACTTTCTCCCTCCAGGTTTACCCCCTGCCAGTTAACGTGCTCTGCTTGCAGTCCAAACACGCCGTGTTTGGGGCCTGCAAAGCTATTTGCACTGTATACACGCAGCTGGCTTGCCGCCACCGCCCCTTTGTAGCAACTGGCAGCAGTAGCCCAGGGCTGCTTGCGGCACCTGCCTCTGTAGGGATGTTGTCGCAACAGGCAAGTATAACAAAAACAGAGTCGCCGCACCTGGCGGCATCCTAGAGTCCCCCAGAGCTGTCCTAAAGTGCCGAGGAAAAGGGGGGCGGTCCCTGGTCTTTCCTGGCTCGCCTGGAAGCAGGATGACATGGGATGCCAGGTGCTCAAAGGTGGCAGGTGGCCTCGCAGGGAAGGATGCCCACCTCCGCTTCCGGGAGGGACAGGGACCGCTGGCCCACCGCCTCTCCAGCCACCCCGAAAGCTTCCTTTGCTCCAGACCCTCACTGTGTGGGGCGAGGAGGAGAAGATTGCAGGGCAGTGAGCCTTTATCCCCAAGCGAAATGAAACCGCAGGATGCGCCCTCAGCTTCCCCAGGTGCAAACCCCGTCACACCTGGGCTTCCCATAAGCCTTGTTGCCTCCCCTTCCCGTTGTCCCAGCCGCGCGCGCTCTCTCCACTCAAGAAGCTCTGTCAGGTACCGTGTTTTTCAATGCCGAAATGGCTGCAAAAGTGCGGTGGAAACCGCTGTCCCTGGCGCTGGAGCCTTCCAGACGATGCCTCGAACGCAGGGTGGGGATTCTGACCTCGCCTCCTTGGAACGTGCAAGTCCTGGGGTTTCCCACCATGGCTTGGCTTTTCTCTCAATCTCTGCTTACTCTGTCAAGGGAAAACAGGTGGAGTGGGTGCACCACACCTGTCCACAGGAAGCACCTGGCCCCTGCGTGTCGAGTCGTCGCCTCCCCTGCTGCCACCATGACTGGACTGGGAACCGAAGGGCCCGTGTCCGTTGGGCTGCAAAGGCCCAAAAGATCACCGCCTTGTCTTTCTGGATCCTTGAAGAGTCAGCTTCCCCTGGCGGGGCGCTTAACGTGGAATCCGCACTGGGCAGGGGTGGGACCCGACGGCCCTCTGGCCCCTTCTGACTCTGCTCTGATCTCGAGGATCATATGCTGCCATGGCCTCCAAAGGGAAGATCTGGCGAGGCCGCTGCACAGCACCGGGTGCTGGTCAGCCAAAGGGCGGCTTCCCCAGGAAAGCAGCAGCTGTGCTGCGAAAGCTGGGGAAGGCGGCAGCTGCAGGCCGAGGAAGAGGGAGGGCTGCCGCAGGTGAAAATATAACATTGTATGTCGAAGAATGCACACGACACGTGCAAACATCAATACACCACCAGACAGCACATTCAGACCGTGTGAAGAAGGGCTCCAAACGCGCAGGTCGCTCCGCGCTCTCCCAGGAGTCGCGGCGGCGGCGGGTGGGGGGGCTTGGTCCCTTCTGGGAGCCACTCAGGCGACGCGTTTGGAGCTGCTGCTCCAGCGGCCGGCCGTCCAGCGGGCAGAGAAACGCCTCCCGTCCACACGACACATTCCTGTTCAGTCCGGGGGCCAAACAGGAGCCCCAGGCAGCGATGCAAGAGCGTGGGGCAGTCATCTCCGCGCTCGCGCGCTCGTCCATTCGTGCACGTGTTTGCGCACCGATGGGCACGCGCACGTGGGCGCTCGCCGGGGCTCGGCCGCGCCGGCCCGCCCGCCAGGGAGCGGGGGGCCCGCGCAGCTGGAGCCGATGGGGCGCGTCCCCTTCCCCGCGTTCCCGGCGCGGCACATGCTCGCCCGCTGTCTTGGGCGCCGGCAGGCGCGGCTCGGGGTCCCGCCGCTCGCCCACCTCGGCTCGGGTTTCTCCTCGGCCCGGGACGGCCCCGGGACGGCCCGCCCGCCGTGGCCGAGGCTTCGAAGAGCTCGCCGCGGTCAGCAAGGCGCACCAGCGTCCCTGCGACGGGCGGGCCGGGCCGGGCGGTTCCGGCCGGCGCCCGCCGGCCCCGGCTGGGTGGGCCCCGATCCACCCGCCTGCCCCTGGCCCGGGCGAGCTGGGCGGGCTCATAAGGGCTGGCACGGCTCGGGGCGGCGCAGTCCCTGCGGCGCGGAGCCCAGCCCCTGGCCGAGAGGGACGGGCGCGCCGACGGGGGGCAGGCAGGCGCGGGATGCCCGAAGCGAGCGCAGGGGAGGAGTGCCCCGCCGCTGGGGCGGGCCGGGAGCCCCCCAGCGGGGGCGGCGCGGTCCCCCGCGCGCCGTCCGGACGGAGCATCTTCGCCCCCGGCGCCGCGGCGCCCGCCGAGACGGTGCGCCGGCTGCTGCGGCCGGGGGAGGGCGCGGAGGGGGCCGCCGGGCGCCCCGCGCTCTTCATCCAGCTCTCGGAGCTGCTCGGGGGCCCCGCCGGGCTGCAGTGGCGGCAAACGGCCAGGTGAGCGCCGCCCGGGGCACCTGCGGGCGGGGGGGGGGTGGCGCCCGGGGCGCCCAGGCTCCGCAGCCACGCTTCCCGCCGCCGGGAAGGCTGCCCGGGAGATTTTCGGCCGCGGGCGGGACGGCGCTCGGGCCCGAAAGCCCCGGGGACGCCGAGGCGCTGCGGCTGCTGGGCGCCGCGAGCCGCGAGCCGCCTGGGCGAAGGACGGCACCGTGCGGGTCGCTGCGGGGCTCGCCGTGCGCGGAGGTCGGAGGCAGCGCAGCCGCAGGGGGAGCCTCCCGGCCGCTGGCGGTTTGCCTGGGAACAGGTGCTTCCATTGATTTCGCTGGCGCGCCAGCGCACGGCGGATGCGCTGCTCTTGGCCTCGCTCCGGCCTCTTTTTCGCGGTGCTCAGTGGGGATCCTCGCACCTGGCCTCTGGTCCCGCACCTTTCTGCACGAAGCAGCCACCGCTCCGGCCACGCGAGTGCACCAGAGGTGTGTGCCTGCACCTGCTTGGGATGGCCGGCCCTAACAGGGCAGGTGGCCCTATATTGCGTGCCAAGATCAACAGGGCCCATCAAAGCTGGCTGGTTTCCTTCCGTGGCTTGAGATTTCTGTTCATCAGTGCTTAGTGTACTGTAAGGCAACCCTAAAATGGCGTGTCTTTTCTAGAAGGTCTCCTACAAGAGGAACCATATGCCTATTTGTACACTTGTGGTGTGTGCAGCTTGGCTCACTTTTTGAGCTACATGTTCTGCATGTGTTATGAATTCTCTCCCATGTGTTCGCTCAGTGTTATTGGACGAGGAAAAGGCAAGAGGAGTAAACATTTTCTAGAGCCTTGACTTGTGGAATTAGGTATTTATATATGGCTTTGGCATGGCTCTCTTTCTTGATTTACCTGTTACTGCATTCAGGTTATTTCCTGCTTTCTGTTTGAGGCCTAGTCTGGAAAATTCAGACTTGTGTATCTCCTCACCGCTCCCTTTCATCACCCCCACCATGGCAAGAAGAGAATCAAATCACTGAAAGTCAGTGTTTCAAATTCCCCATCCTCTGGGCCTGTTCAGAACATCCATGGCTCCAAAACTGCCAAGGAAACTCCTAGAATTAATAAAAGTGCCTTCACTGGCTCTCCCCAGAGCAGACCACCCACCAGCAGCCTCAGGGCCTTGCCTGAAACGAGGGTGCCAATGGCTGGCTGGCGCTGGGACTCGGAGAGTGTATGCCCGGGCCGGCGCAAGCCCTCTCGCTCCTGGAGCGGTCGTCAGCATGCTGCAGTGTATCCCAGGAAGGAAGAGCCCTCAGCAAAGTGATAAGCTGACACGGCAGTCCCTGTGTGAGGCCGTTCGTTCGCCAGATCTCTGCTTGGTCACAGCGCAGATCCGAGATCCGGCCACTGCATGGAAAGGGATTCCGTTTCTGCTTTCTGCTACGTGGCCTCTAGGTGGCGCCGTGGCACAACGGAATAGCACAACCACGCGAAGGGCAGACGTGGTTGGTTTCGCGTAGCATAGTTTATTTATCTCCGTATTTCATCTTTATACTGAGATATTTTCCCTGTTCACTATTTTCCCTGTTCTGAACACCCTCGCCAAAAGTGCTGAAAACAGAAGCGAAACGAAGAGCCATGACATCACACAGAAAACCACAAGGATGGTGGCTGGTTTACAGAGTCGGCTGTGTGAGGCGAGGCTGAGGGAGTGCGGTCTCCTCAGCCTGGGGGGCGGCCTGCTAGCGACATGCTGGGGGGCCACGCGGAGCTGGGTCGAGACCTGTTTTCCCCTGCAATGGAGGGCAGGATGCGCTCCAACGAAGCAAAGCTCAGGGAACCAAGGTTCGGGGTGGATGCCAGGAAGCCCTTCCTGACAGGACCCCGAGGGTGTGGAACAGGCTTCCCCGGGAGGTGGTTGAGGCCCCATCGGTGCGGGTGCTCAAGGATAGGCTGGACATGCACATGGTAGGCATGTCATGAGCCGAGTCGGGGGTCAGACTAGATGGCCCAGGAGTCCCCTTCTGACTCCTTCTGTTTCTATGAACCTGTAGACAACTGCAAGCAAGGAATCAGAAGTCCCCAGTAAATAGATCACACGGGGAGCATTTTCCACGCTCGGGGTGCCATGCTAGGCAAGGCACCCTCGACGTGGATGCTGGCATCCTGCAGAGCAACAAGCTGAAAGGGCCACAGATCCACGTCTGAAGCCGCTTTCTCAGCCCAGGCAGGTGAAGTGCTGGGCGGCGCTGCCCCTGTGGAACCCCCAGCGCATCCCTGCTGCTTGAGCTGGGAGCACACGCTCCAAGTGGCGGCCCAGATGGACAGAGGCCCAGTAGGCAGGGAGACCCCTGGGCAGGAGCCCTCCCTGCCCCGGCTCTCTCCGCAGCAATCACAGCCCCATGGTCTAGTTCAAATCCAGACTAAATTAAGCACACCAGAGAAAGGACAGAGGTCAATAATAACACAAGAAGTTTAAAGTACAAATAATAGCAAGAAGCACCACAACAGAAGGCGAGGTGTGACACATACCCGTGGGCACGTAAAACAGGCACGGAAGAGAACACCCATCCGGAGAAAACGGAGCACGGCCATGATCCAAATCGCTCCTTCCTGAGGGACTGGACAAAATAAGTAAGTAATTGGACGGCATACAAATTTGAGAGAGAGAGAGAGAGAAAAAGAAATTGGATGGCATACACATTTTATAATTAAATAAATAAAGTAATTGGACAGCATACAAATTTTATAAACAAACAAACAAAGTAATAGGACAGCATACACATTTTATAAATAAATAAATAGAACCCAGCGAGTTTTGGAGCTAATGGTCAGGGTGGGCTCATGCATCTCCGAGGCATTTAAGCGCTCCGATTCTTCCTTACGGCATTCAAAATCTCTGGGAGCTGCTCTCAAAACACGCACCTCCCCTGGGGAATTGTTCACATTTTTACTCTGTTTCTGGCAAATCTGTTGCTTTCCCCCTTGGGAAGCGCTTCCAGGAAGGCTTGCCAGCTGCGTGCAGCCCTGCCGAGCGGCCCTCCCCACCCCAAAAATAGGCTGTGAGGGCAAGAAGCACTGGCAGAGGAATGCTGTACTTCTCTGGGGACAGAGCCGTGGTCCCAGAATCACACTTCCCAAAACTGGGGATTCCGCCCACCACGCAGGGGCCCTTCTGTGCTCCCGAGACATTGATCTGCAGCGTCAGCGGGACATAAATTAGCACCACGGTTTGGATCTGCGTGTGATGCATCGCACGTTTCCCCTAAAAATTCCATAGCACCTGCCCCGTAGGATCCTAAGCCATTTCCTCAAACGTCAGTCTCATTCAGCAAATCCTATTTCTTCCTGCCCCTTAATCAGCCATTTCTTCCATTCCCCTCATTTTAAAGCAAATACACTGTGCGTTCTGTATCAGTGAACGACTCCTGAATCAATCAGACATTTCTTGATCTGTCTGAGAGTGTTGGTGGGTTATAATTAGTGGGTTCCCCCTTTGAGCCACAGTAATTTCATCTCACTAATTTATTTTAATGAATTATTAAATGAAATAAATTACTTTATTTTATTAAATAAATAAATTTATACTTTATTTTATGAAATATGTGATTTAATTTTTAAATTATTTTATTGCTTTCTTTCAAACTTAATTTTTGGGTAGATTTTCACATCTGTCATAAAACTGCATAAAAATTATGCATAACTGCTCTTGCTCAGGGAAGAAAACCACCAACTGGGCATCAGACCACCATCCGCGGTGTAAAAAAGGAGTGTGATTCTTAAACAAGTTTTGGTTGCAGCAAAGATCCATTCTCAGTTCCCAAGCAAGGAGCAGAAGTAGAAGCAGTGACTGAAAGGGGAATACTTTGAATTGATACTTTCCTCTGCCGATTGATGTCTTGTCAAGTGTTCTTGGAAATCAGCTGAAGAATCAGGGAGATAATTTACCTCTGCATAGGCATCAAATTGGCCTGATAGCAAAAAGAAAGAAAGAAAAGGCATGCTTTTGCAGCAGAGGTAATCTAGCAGTGCCAGCAGGTGTGTCCCCAGCATCTCTGCCAACCTACCACTCCTGACCAGGCTGTCAGGGTCTAGCGCGCTGCGGGTACCTGTGCATCAAGGTATAGGCAGAAAGGATCCGTCCATCAAGGGTGCCGGCATCACCCTACCTTTAAGGCTGCCCAGGTGTGCTTTGAAAGACACAAGGGCCCACCTGAGCCAGGGCAAAGTACCCAGAAGGGATGTGGGATGAAGCTGGGGTTGTGGTGGGTTTGCGGAAGGCTCCGTACGGGGTGAGGACGATGCCGAGTGCCCGCTTCCGGTTTCTGGCGGCTGCCTCACCTTGGCATGCAGCCAGAGTGTTCTGGTCGACGTGGGCTTAGCAGTGATTTCCCTTAGTGCAGGAGCCCAAACTCCTGGAATCGGGGCCCTTGCTGAGACTGAGCAAGGAGGCCAGCTCCTCTTGACGATCAAGCGGCGGGATCATCTCATCGCAAGGCGACGGCTTATGATTAAGATGCAAGAAACAGGAGTTCCCTGCAGCGTGAGGCTCTCGGTCATGGGACTGACGCAGCGTTTCCCTTGCAGGTGGATAAAGTTTGAAGAGAAAGTGGAAGACGGGGGAGAACGCTGGAGCAAACCGCAAGTGGCCACCGTGTCCCTCCATGCGCTGTTTGAGCTGAGGACGTGTCTGCAGAAGGGCTCCCTGCTCCTGGGCTTGGAAGCCCACAATTTCAGGCAGATAGTAGGTAGGTAGGGAGCGCAGAGGGGCCCACGGCAAAGGAGCGGGTTGCTTTGTGCAGGGAGGTGACTTGTGTTGGTCTTGTGTTCAAGAGAAGGCGATTGAGGCCCACGTGGAGAGCCATGCCCTCCGGCCAGAACTTCTGAAGAAGCTCAGCCACACCTTGCTCCTCAGCCCCCAGCACCACATAACCACGTCTCAGCTCAAGTCGCTTATTGAGACGGCCAAGCCTTCCTGCTTCGGTAGGTGACTCCAGTGTGATGGCCCTGCCCGTCCCAGCTCAGCCTGCAGAAGGCCAGAGGCCCAGCTGAACGTGGGTTTTCAGGGTGGCCCTAGGAAATGGGTGTCTTCACACAATGCAGAGGCCCTCCTTGGCTTGGGTCGCAATGTCATGCAAATTATGCTGTGCAAGTAGGAATGTGTCAAGACACGCTGCTTCCTCTGTTGCAGACAAAGCTAAAATCCACTCCAGTCCGAAGGGCGAGGTATCAGAGGCACCCCTAAAGGAACAGGCAAGTAAAGTTTCTTGCGTTTAGAAGAGGGAAAACACTGCAAAAAGCTTCCAGGGGCTTCCTAGCAACTCTTCGATGCTCCCCAGGGGACAGAAATATCCCTCCTGCCCCACGATTCCATTTCACCCCATCCAAGTTTTGCCTTGTGGCTTTGAAGAGCAGCGGTGGCCACTCTCAGCTTTCAGCTTGGAGTTTATCAGAGGAAGGATGCCCTTGAGGATGTAAGGACCAGAGGGGAGGCCGCTGTCCCTGGGAGAGGAGAAGCGAAGCACCCGGCAACTCACCAAGGCCGAGGTCCTAAAGGAATCATGTGGCACGGATAGCGTGCGGCAGAAGATGCACCGGCCAGTGGCTTTGGCTCCAGGCCAGGCCGCTTTCCCTTCCTCAGGCCCTTCTTGACAACCGCAAGATCTACTAATAAGCTCTTTAGGTGGAGGAGGTAAAAGGGTTTAGATGCAGCATAGGTGTGTTTGAAGCATCTTACATAAAAGGAAAGGCATGAGCAGCGAAGAGAGGTTTGACAGGATATTCATCAACCTCTTAGGCATGTTCATTGTGCTTTGCTGCAGCAGAGAGAGACAGACAGACAGACCTACCTTGCTCTTGTTTCCCAAGCTGTGGTCCACAAACCCTGGATGTGTTTCCATTGCAGCTGAAAAACCGCTTCAGGAAGAAGGTTCCGGCAGAGGCAGAGGTGGCCAACGTCCTCGTGGGAGAGGCCGCCTTTCTGGAGAAGCCTTTCATTGCGTTTGTGCGTCTGCAGGAAGCGGTCCTTCTGGGAAGCTTGACCGAGGTCGCTTTCCCCAGCAGGTAAGCCAGCAGGCAGGTGGCTGGGCAGGTGGGCGCCTCGCAGGGCCCCGGAGCCTTCTGGTGGACCAGTGGCTGGGAGGGTGGAGAGGGTGGGAGCGCCCAGGCCGGCTCACTGGTGTCCGTGAGGCCCTTCCCAAGCTTGGGCTGTGAGTGCCGTTCCTGCTCAAGCACTGCTTTCGCCAGCTCGGGGATGAGTCCGGCCAGCAGCCAGCCCTGGGCGCTCCTTCCTGGCGAGGCAGGATCCCACCTGCTCCTCCAGGCCTCGGCCAGACCTGAGACGGTGCGCAACGGAGGGTGCAGGTGACGGGCCAGAGGCTGGAGGCTTGGCTTCCGAGGAGGCAGATCGGGAGCAGAAGAGCCCCTGCGGAAGCAGTCATCCAAGCGGGGCTGGTAGCCAGGACCCAAAGGGCAACGCAGGACTTGTGTCCGAGTGCAGCCTGGTGCAACCGTTCTGCAGGGCCGGCCAGCTGCTTCTTGCCCTCTCAGGCCACGGAGAGCAGCCACGCCTTCCCCGGCTCCAGGGTTAGCGGCACGGAGAGCCGAGCCAAGGGCAGGTGGCTGCTCCGGGGTGGGGGGCAGAGGGGAAGGAGCCCCTGAGCCCTGCTGCCGGGCATCCCGCTCAGGCCCCGGTTGCGAGCACAAGGAAGGGACTGCGACCTCAGCACCCTGCCTGTGCCCAGGGAAGGGAAGGGAAGGGAAGGGAAGGGAAGGGAAGGCAGGGGCTCCTTCCCCTCTGCCCCCCACCCCGGAGCAGCCACCTGCC